CACAGAAAAAATCTCTTTTCGTAACTTCAGATTATAAAGTATATAACCAAACATAGATTTATAGATATCTACGAGTAAATAAAAAGGTAATGGCAGTATAAAAGAGATGAAAACAACACCAAGTATATGCATTTGACTTTATTTTGCGACTCCCCCTGCGATGTGCTTTCCCATAAACGACTCCCCCCTACGTAACCGTTACTGTCTGAAGAGAAAATGTCTTAATTGTTAATTTTTATAAAGTCTAGTCAAGATTAAGTTGTTGCATTAAAATATAAATGCTTTCTCTCGCTGTTTTAAATATGAGAATCCCTACGCAAGCCGTAGATTGTGCAAATAATGCATGTTTTTACTACCCGATCAACGTAAATATGAAAACTGTCAAATAGTTTCGAAGTGTTTGAGAAAACTAGACGTATATGATAGCCGGACAAATGACCACGATAAAGCTTAACTATTGCCATCTTCCGTGGGATATTTATTTTTTGTAAATACATCTTATATATACCGAAAAAAGACGTGACCCACATCTCCTCTGACTCCGAAGCGGTGAAAATCTACTCCCCCATACGTTGAAAACGACTCCCCCATACTTTTTAGCGACTCCCCCGCGTTACCCGTTGTATACGGTGATTTATGCAGGACATTTTTACATCGAACATGTATACCAGAACTATATAGCTAACAAATTAGTTTAATTAATCTCCCTCAATTTAAACCTGTCTTTGAGTGTTAAATAGACATCGATTGCTTCTAACAGGACACCTGCGATATAAAGAATAAAGACTTTATTGCTACTCTCTGTGTATGAAGGAAACTGTTTAAAGTCAGATCTACGCTTCCATAACTTTGACCGATCTACACACCCCCGTAGGTACTCAAAGCTTTGTAAACTGGAGCTTGGATAAATATTTTTTGGCTATTCCTTACCACTGATTTATCTACTACTTTTATCATGAATGATCAAAGTGCAGATGTAATGGGTAAGTATTAATACGAGACATTTTTTTTAGGATTGGTTATATTTTTGTTTACGATAAGCGTATAATTAGATATTTTTTTGAAAGGAGGCGTGTATTCAGTATTGTCCCATTTTCTACCCCGGTCAATTTTACGGCAGCGCACTAATGTCATCGATAGGTCATTTTGTCGGGATAGTTAGAGAAAGCATTTAATGCTGCTGTCAACATAAATATACTCAAATGTCGATGTCGGAATCCCATCGTTAATCCTTGGAGAAGGTTTCTATTTAGCCTTGAATTGAAAGTAATTAGTTTTTTTTTTATACATCGAGAGGTGGGGTTGGGGATGTTATACATACATATATTTACATTTCCAATGTCTTTGTCCGAGATAAAATAACAAATAGTTATTAATGTACTTTATTTCTTCATGAATGCACTGTATCATCGATAGGCGCGGTTAAGGGGGATGTACAAGCCATATTGGATCTAGTCTGCTGTAAACTAAGAAATACCAAGAATGCGCTTAATACTCTACTAAACTAGCTCAAAGTTACTCAAAGTGCTAATGCACTAATTACCTACAGTTAGAGACCAAAATTAGTAAATAATTAAGTTTATTTTGTCTTAATTAGAAGAAAATTAATCATGTTAGAACTGCGCAGCTACAGCATTCATGAGATGAAAAATGCATTGAAAATGGAGTTAGTTTGATTCATTGATAATATGGCTACAACCATTTGTTTCGTTTTTTTCTTGTCATTATCCATAATTCTTGAAAATTTGATTTTTCATATGGGTGTCTTCCTGAGGCCATGTGTTTATTTCGTCCGCCATTCCTCTGTCACACAGAGTTCGAATAACAATGATTTTAGAATAAATGCGACCATAATAACATCAAGACAAGAAATTACTTAGTAATAATCATTAGGTTATATTACTTACTCAGAGTTCCCGAAACGCACCGGTCCACCGGGGATCCCCGGTAAATTTTGAATGGGACCGGTAAAATTTTAATTTTATCGGTCAAAATGTCCGACAGTTTTTTACAGACTGTATAACAATGACACATAATCTTAACAAAATCATTTAATTCAATATTTAATCAGCGTGCAAAGCCAAAGGAATTTTTAAAAAACGTGAGTGGTGCGCCAGATTATTCTCGTGCATTCTTGTTTAAATGTAGACGGTGTATGTCTACTATAAAAGGCTACATAATGAAATAATATTCTCCATAAGTCTGAAAAAAACTGTCAAACAAATAATTTTCCTTCTTAATATACACTCGGTATTTCTGACAGTAAAAAATGTGGCAATTTACTTTCGTTTTGCAGGACGAACTTTGCAGGGTTAACATGGTTAAGATCAAGCCAAGTTGCCAGCTATTTCTTCTTGATTATTGACAATTTCTTACCATTTTTATTATACTCTGTAAATTAATCTATTAGAATTATAAATGTTAAACTAATTTTTGGATTTTTTCCCCATGCATTTGTTAGCATTTAATACAAGCGCGTTTTTCCCCGTTTCTAAAAATAGCGACTGGCTGACTTTATGTAATAAAACGACAAAAACGTCACTTAAAATCATCATTTTCATGATTAATTTGCATATTTTTATATTATTTGTACATATTTCTGTATAATACATTAAGTAAAACAATCAACCAAAAGAGGTCATGTTGCAGATTTTATTTTAAAAATAAAATATGTCAGAAAGGACATAATTTTTATATGATGAAGCACTGGTCATCATACACCGTCAGTGACGTCAAACCCCAGATACATAGGCCTAATATAAAATATTTTAATAAATAAAATATTTTAATAAATGAAGTAAAAAAAACGTATTTGCCAACTTTTCATTTAGATGTCCTAAGGTCTTCCTGATCATGGACTACAGTGGCAAACTGGTAAGACAAACTGAATGGGAAATAGAGGGAGAGAGAAAGAAAAGGAATAAATTAAAGATTTTTTTTTAACTGTTTGCATTACTTTTAAGTGGATTTTATTTTATCAAAAAAATTAATGTCCGGTAAATTTTAGATTTGTCCGGTGAATTTTAAAAATTTACAGGACAAATGTCCGACATATTTTTGACTAGTTTCGGGAACTCTGCTTACTACTTTTATTTGTTGCATCGCATCGTCTGATTAATGAAAAAACGCGATTTTAACCTCACTCCAGCAAATCGGGGAAAACTGTCCTGTTTACAACTCGAAATTCCTCGTTAATATTATTCCACTAAGCACATGGTTGGCATGTGCATATATCTGCTGTGGATAGATCCGTTTATTACCATTATTATATTTAATTTTTATGGAACAAGTCTTGATAATTTGTTGGTTTCTTTAAAACTCAAGAAAAAAAGATAAAAATGTCCTAAACATTTGTGTTTACGGAGGGTCTTTTTTCTGTGGCGATAGAAGTTATTTTCAAATGGGGCACTGCAAGGAGGATGCTTAGCATTTAATTTGAAAATGTTAAACAATATGCAGTGCATGAAAAATAAATTGTAATTACATGTCTTACATTCGAAAAGTTGGTACATATGTCTATTTTATTTAGAAGTTAGATAGAAAAAATAGGCAGTTATAGGATTTCCTTCAGGCACCTCACATAAATAGCTAGAATGTTTGCAATGACCCACACATTGTATGGGGTCATGTTTGGACACAAAAACGCATCATGTCTCATTATGTTGACAACGTTGTAAGCTCTCGCTCATTGAACATACGAAGCTTGATAAAATATAATGAGTTGTTTCTATGAAATTTAGAAGCGAGCACAATGTTTGCAAAGAAAGGTCCATTGCATATGCTAGTCTATCATCGCAAAAAAGTGAGTGTTAACCCCCCCACCCCACCCCCCCCCCCCCCCCCCCCCCCCCCCCGCCCCGAAAATCCTATGTTTGTTTTTCAAAATAGTGTCAAAGATTAAAAAAAAATTGCATTACTAAGTATGTGATGGAACATGTACTAGCCTTATAAGACCACTTGTTATAAAAATATTTGGTTGCCCTCTCTCCCGATCTACTACCTAGAAATGGCCCGACTCATTTTTTTAACATCCCATTACACGATATTTTTTTCTTTTTCTTCCGTCAACAATTCTGTTTAAATTTTAAGGAATTTTTTTCTCACCTATAAATACGGACCCAATAATTTTCTTTGATAGCATATTGCTTTAAAAAAACACATCCCTTTTCAAACTTGCTTTCACCGGGCAACATAACAAGTATCATATTTAACCATCTGCCTTCCTTCACTAAAACGATATCCAATCATTGATTGAAATTATAGGAGGCCATTTAATAAACTGTGAACAAATTCTTATACGCTACTTCAAAGGCATTTCTAAGATATACATGTGCCATAAATATTATAGTCGTTTGTTGAACGAGTTCCACTGAGACAACCATTTTTCGTCAAAAGTACCTGAATAATGACGTCATTTTCAGATTGTGACATCACAAACAAGGAGCAAAACTTCAGCATATGCTATTTATAGAACTTGTGTTTGGCTATCTAATCTGAATTGTGGTTTTGTAGATATAGAGATATTTCGCGAACTTTTTGATAACGCTTCGTACTAGTAGGTACTAAAACAAGGTCATTCGTATCAATTTTATGTGTCTAATTTCTTTGTGTTTTATTGGTGATAATTAAAATTTTAATAGATAATATAATTTATCTGTGGCAAACTTACAAACTCTTAATTTTTAACTTTGATGGTGCTTATTTTTCCTTACCTGGAATCAAAGAGTTTAATTTTTTTTTTATATTAATACGTAAACTATTTAACAACTGTTCGGTAATAATACTAAATAAATTACTTCAAGCCACACTATAACACCTTTCCTCTTTTAAAAGTGTTCATATTATTTGAAATATTTTGCAACTGTAATTCTCTTCTACATTTAAAGATTGTTATGCCCCTCCATATTAAAGCTGAACACTACTCGTAAATAGGCATAGTCCGCCATATTTCCCGTTCTTCAACGCTCTCCCTACAACACGTATATAAGGAGCAAATCGCTAGTCAGTTCAATGTATTTCACTGTAGAGATCCGACGAGTGTAGACGTACATCTTACAAAGCGTGCTACTCAATATCGATGAAATTATCAAATTTTACGCATTTTTTCCGAAACAGGACAAAAGTATCAAGGAAAATGCAGGTCAATACATTATTTACAAACAGAAAATGCACCTAAAAACAAGAAATAAACGCAAAAAATCTAAGACCACGATAGGAGTACTACATGTCGGCCACGAGTTTCGAGTGTGCAATCGGGTGTAACGAAAGCGAACGGTTTATATACCCGTCTGACAGTGCCTATTTATGAGAAGTGTTCAGCTTTAAGAAGAGGTCTGGAAAACAAAATTCTGTGCTAAAAATAGACCACGTGCTGCTATCCATGAACTACTTTCATGGTTCTTTACACTCTTTTTGAAGACAACGGTACCTTGTTTTGAACTTGAAATTATCATTTAAAAGTGCAAAATTTAGACATTTTCTCAACAAATGGTTGTAGAGAGAACATTAATACACAGTTTGCATATTTTTTTGGATTTTTTAAGGCTCTGCTGAATTCTGTAGCTGCGCAGTTCTAAGGAGCATATCAAAAGCATTTTTCTGCAAAAGTATAGATTATATATGCACAACATGCATTCGGTTATGCATATTTATTGTATCTTTATCAAAAAGACTTAAAATTTGATCAAAATATAATGTATTTTAGCCATTTGAAGAAATGTTTACATTTTGCTCTCACTGCACTAAAAGTGGCCGTACATCCCCCTTAAGAAAAATCACGTGCGGGGCGGTACAAATGTAGAGACAGACGCTGGGCTTAGAGCACGTGGGTTGGCGGAATCAAGAGCATGTAAAATATAAGGAATAACTGTCAGATTTTTCGATTTCATGACGATGATCAATCGATTGGCTTGCGTAAATGATCAAGAAATCAACTCCCCTATCTTTGAAGTTTCAAAGAGTTATCGGAGAGAAAACACATAGAAATGGAAATGTTATTGAATATATATACTTTTGGTCCTTGTATAAGAGAAATGAAACAAAGGGATTTTTAAGCATCGAAATGACATTTTTTTTTTAGCTTTTGTAGAATTTCTTTGTATATTATTCTTTTGACGTACAAACAAAAATTATTCTTTTCCAAGTGCTTGGAAAGAATGGACAAAGAGAAATTGATGTTACAAATTTCATTTTCAGTTCGACAGTTTGTTAACATTTGTCATGGAAACTTTTTCGCTTTGAATTAGAAATACAATAGCAAAGCTTTGATGTTGATCTATAACTATAAAAAATATGGAGCTAAAGTTGTTATCTTAAAATAAATTGTTTTCAATATTGCACATTTTAAAGAGGTTATATGAAATTTCACACCAGTGATTTTTTTTTTGTTTTGGATAAAGGATCACTTCATTATAAATAGGAATCTGACCTATAGGACCGGGCTTGGTTTTATTCTCTACAAAAAGCTTGTCGATTTCCGTTCTGGTTAATGACATTAGGCTGAATACATATAACAATTTGTTTTTCCTAAATCTTTATTTCAGTGAGTAGAGATAAGAGGAACCCTTTTTATTGATTTTGTTATCTCCAAATGTAATAATTGATATTTGTCTTTACTTCTCATAGCGCATAAAGGTAATGTCTACTGCCTCTGAAATTCTATTCTTAATGTCTAGGCTATTTATCCGTGGATATAATAAAAACTTGTCTTTAATGTGTGCAAATTATAAAGGCCTACATGAAATCCAAGTGAGTGCATTTACTGAAATATGAAGCCAAAATCAATGTGATTAAATTCTAAGGGATATATACAATTGAAATTCATTGCAGCTCAATGTCGCCAGGAATACCTGTATTGAGTAACACATAGTGAGTTATTCTTGTCCTCGGAGAAAGTGTGTTCGTTCCACCTGACTGACAACTGTACATTGGATTGTTACGATTTGATATCTCTTTAGTGTTTCTTATATCAAGAATGGGAATGCATAAGGGATAAACAATTGAAGGAAAAATACACAAGTCTATAAAAAAATTAAAATAGTCTTTGAAAAGGCGAAATTTAAAACTGTAAAAGTGTTGTACCAGGTGGATTCGAACCCCCGACTTTAAAAAGAGAGTATCCAAGGTGTAAAAGTCAGCACTTATATCAACTGAGCTAGTCTGACTATAAGAATGAATGGCATAAATTAAGAGAAGATTTCGAAAATCTGGTTTCCTTATTTTTTGTAGGTTTTTTGTGAATTTCGACCCCATGGCAGGGGTGCCCCTAAAAAAATCTTATCTTAAATTATTCCTTACATCCTAACCTATCAAAATGTCATAATTTTATTTAGGGGCAGGCCTGCCCTGATGGACTTTAAGGCCAAAATTCATGCAAAAATCAACGCTTTAAAGGACAAAATGGTGTTTCGATCAACTTTGGAGGTTTATTGTCAAGTTGTAAATAATAAATTTTAGGTATAAAATACAAATTTAAAAAAATTTAGACATATATTCGGTAGAAAACAACAAATAAAGATGGATTTTTAAATGTCACTTTTTCCGGGAAATTGTTCTCTCCTATAGGTCAATTCTTTTGTTAAAGCGAATACATCCTTTATCATCCTTCTTCCATACTCTCTAGATAAAATTGTCTCTTCTATTATTCAAAAATCCAAAATCTACATCATCTATAACGAATTTTAATGTACTTAGTCATTATGCAGATTTTATTTAACAATAAAACCCCAAAAATTTACAGAAACACGGTATGAAACAACAGTTTCCGAAGAAGATATTATTAAAGTCAGCGACAGCCATGGAAACGTTATGGAATTTTTGGAATATGGCGGACAGTGCATCAGTGCCAGAGGGGTAAAACTGGGAAGGTTTCCCAACCCCAAAACCAATTTCCCGAGATTGAAAGAGATTAATATCAAACCAGAAGACTGTTTTCTGTGTGCTTATCCAAAAGCAGGTTTGTACAATGCTACTCATTTTTCCTCATTGGAACAAGTGAATGATAAAATATATCAGATCGTAATTTTCCTACAAATCCTAGGATTTAAAATAGGTTCATTATAAGAATAGACCTATTGCAGTTCTACATCTGGATATGTTCATAGAGCATTTTAGTATTAAAATTCAAGTTTTTGAACGGTCAAACATCAGAAAAATAAAACAGATCTAGATTTAGACAAGTTAAATTTTCAATCATCCATCAGTTTTTTTTAATTACAAGTATTATTATGACTTAAAATGAAATGCGAGATAAAAAGGAGAGGGACAGTAATTCCTCAACTTTTATTTTAATCAGCGAAAAATTATAAAGGACAGCTTTAAAATTCTATATTTTACTATAGTTTTAGTTATCCTTTCAAGGAACACATTGGACTTGGGAAATCATGAGTATGATTATTCAGCAAAGCGCAGAATACCATCCACTGAAGAAGGAAACCCACATGATAGAATTCAACACCCCGGAAGTGCTGGAGTCCGTGACGTCACCACGAGTGTTTAACACCCACCTACGACCAAATAATATGCCTCAGCAATTTTTTCAGAAACGCTGCAAGACAGTTTTTGTTCAACGCAATCCCAAAGACGTAGCAGTGTCGTTTTATTATCATTGTATCCAAACGACAAAATTTCCCGGCACTTTCATTCAGTTTATGGACTTTCTCATGGAAAAACACGGGCCAAGTAAAAATGCTTTGTAAAACTAAAATTTTTCCAGTTAATTTTCAATCAATGAAATGTTATTTTCTGAAAGTACTAAGTATATTTGAAATTAAAGATAATTCTGACTATACTATTCAAATACCTATATTTTTAGCTATTCAAGTTAGCGAGGAATTCATTTTGGTATTATTAAGAGGGTATTGATATCACACCATTTAATATCATGATAAATATATCAATTTTATGCTTTGGAGGAAATATAAGATAGTTCTTGCTAAAAATATTTAACAAAGGTTATGGAAAAATCGCTGGGTATCGATAAAAAACGACTAAATTAAACATCGTGTAATTATTCCGAAAAAAATTATATATATTGCAGTATCTAAGCATTTCAAAATAACTAATGAAGCATTTTCTTT